GATTCATTTAATAAAAACCTTCCCATCTAATGTTTTCAGCAGCTATTGCTAATTATTGCCTAGATCCTTTATTTCCTTGGTGATTTCAAAATGTTAATATTCTAAAACTATAATCACTTTCTCATTTATTAAGTGAGATTTTTAAAAGAACTTTCTCTCATCAACTATTATCCTGGTTATCCTAAAGTTCAGTTTGAAGACTGTTTTCATACTTTCACTGAATTCTACTTATGCAAACTCTTTCCCTGTTTTTCTGCACACTCTTCTTATTTTCTCTGTTTGTAACTAATCCACATTTTAGTGTATAGTTTTACCTTTGGATAATAGCATTAAAACTCAGTGTCTTTCAAGTAAAGCTCTACACTTTAAGAAAACTTTAAAGTTTCCCATTGTGTTTAAATCACAATAGGTTTTTCTGTAGGGCAACCTAGCAAGCTTTATACAATTTTAAATAAGCATAGCCTTAGAATAATTCTACTTCAAGTAAATTATCCTAAGAAAAAAATGAAAACTATGCACAAAATAAAGTCACAGAAGTTCAAAACATCACTTATTATAGCAAAAATTACTGAAAACAATTTAAATGTCTAACAGTAGGCTAAGATATTATGATAACCATGGAAACCCATTAAAAATGAATTGTAAATCTATATTGACATGAACAGAATGATGTATTGATCAACATAGATCTATATTGATATAAGCATATATTGTGTTAAGAGCAAGTTATAAAATATTACATATAATGAGATCCTATATTTGTAAAAAGAATAATTTTATAGGTTTAGCTATAGATATGTGCATGGCAAAAAAAAATGAAAGGCTATCCTCTCAAATGTTACCTATGTTTGTCAACTTCTGGATGGTGGCTTTTGAATAATCTTTTCTTTCTATTTTTTTTCATTAATAATTATTTTACAATTAACAATAAAAATAAAAATAAAATTTTATTTTTTATAATTATGGAAGCATTTTCAACCAATAATAAAAACACTTGTTTAACTGCCAAATAAACATTTAAATCAATTTGCAATGTGGTAATAAAAAAGATCCTTGTCACTTAAGTGTAACCCATGCCACTGTAACTTCTTCCCTTAAATATCATGGTACAGATTACTAACAGATAAGTGATTTTGCTGTTACTATGAGTTCTACAATCCAGCTTTTAAAATGGGAAGGCTTGCTGCCTTTTTATCTTCTGTGAAATTGCTGATTTGACACAGAAGTGGCTGCTGGAAGCTTTACACTGAAGGCTTAGTTTCTGAAAGAGAAACTTCTGCCACTGCTAATGGAGACTATATATTATGCAACTTAATCTTTAGAACTACCCTCTGACATAAGTATTGACAACTTTATTTTATAGGGAAGAAAAAAGTTCATGTTCCCTCAGCTCCTAAGCAGGGTCCTGGACCCTGGATTTTTACTTCAATGTCTGCTCTTTGCCTGCTTGACCACTGCATTTCCATCTCAGCTACACTTCCTTCTTTTCTACCTTGAAAGTCCTACCTGACAAGCCTGTGTGACAATCACGCAGACAACATCTTACTTAATTCTCTGCCACCATATGAGGTGGGAATAGATTACCTCATCCATCAATATCTAAACTCTCATGGCATTAGCATAGTTTCACCCCCGTGAAATAGGAGCATACTACTTCCCCCACATCCTATGGCCTGAGACAGTATTAAACTGTAAGCAGAGCACACTGACCTGCTTTTGCTGCCTAAAAATGTTTCTCCATCAGTCATACAGAAGCAGCCCACCCTTTATTAGAATAAGAAATCACTGACCTCAGGCACCTATGTGGAAATACCCTATTCATATAACCCAAGGAAAAAAAGTTGACAGAAAATCTGAAATGATTAATGCAATTGCAATAAATGGAAACACATTTTTTGAAATTACAAATAGTCAAAATGTCAGCTAGCTTTGGCAAGATAGGACAAGGTCCATTTTTTAATCAAGATTGTATAAGACAAAACTTCAAAACACATATTTCTATATCATACTGGGAAATCTTTAAAAACTAAAAAATTTATAATACATTCATCCAGCTACAATGCATCATCTAATAGATGTAAAAGGCAGGGCATCAAATATATTAGGATAGAGAATTCTTCCTGCTTGAGAAGGGAGGAGACTGTGGTTGACCATGAACAAAGTTGACCTATGTCTGAACCAGGGGAATTATAAACATGGAATATGGAAGTGGAGGAATCAAAGTGGTACGGAAGGCTAAGTGCTGCCAAAGGTGACCTTCTGACTTTCATCTGAGGAAATATCCACTTTATATGACAACTCTGCGGTAAGCTTACACATGCATATTGCGGAGTAAAGAGAAAAAAAAAACTTGAATTGGAAGAGGTAGATTTAAGCCTAACAACTTAGATCACTCAAATTATTCCCTTAATCTCTGTGAGCTTCATAAAATTGCCCTCTTTATAAAATGGAAATGAAACATTCCATCTTCCCTACTCCAGGTAGTTGGAGATGATATGGGAATACACATGACAAACATTTGATCAAATATAAAAGCACTATATTAACATGTCTGAATTTTTAGAATTACTTGCCAATTATCACAACCCTATCTGTTGTCACCGAACACTCATCTGGCTGTTTCATTGATGCACAGTTCTCCAACAAATATGAGTTTTTTGGTTAAAAAATATTTTTTTAGAGACAAGGGCTTACTACGTGCCCAGGCTGGTTTTGAATGCCTTGCTTCTAACAATCCTTTTGCCTTGGCTTCCAAAAGTATTGGGATTACTGCTATGAACTATCATGCCTAGCCCAAATGTGTTTTCAATACCTACAATGGCCCATGCCCATTCTAGGTGCTGCCAATATATTAATAAACATAATAAAACTTTTTGTTCTCATGGAGTTAACATAACCAATCAGTGGAATCTAAACTTAGAGACTACTAGATTTGTGAGATATAAGTCATGCAATTAACTCTACTAGAAGAACCTACTATGTGTCAAGAACAATGATAAAATAGAATATACCGACTATCTGCTATTTTGGAGCTCATGGCTTAGAAGGCACCCTGGAGCTTGTCAAGTTTAAGGTGAGTTACCATACAGCATAATACAGCACAGATAATACAAAGAGGAGGCAGATAACTCAGATTTGGAAGTCAGGAGGGTAACCTGAGGGCAGTGCTGCTCACGTTAGAAGTCAAAATGGTAGTAGGGGGCAGGAGGGTCATAATTTTCACATTCTCTGTTTCCAGAGTATAGTGTTCCTGCCTGGGTATGTCCAAGGGAAAAAGACCTGAGATACAGAGGACCTAAGAATCACAGCATATGGAAAATGAAGAAAGAACTGAAGATATTTAGACTGGAAAATGAAAGACCTAGAAAAATACCTAATTACAAATAAACTAAATTTATTTTTTGTGATTCCAGAGAGCAAATTTCAACCTATGGCCAAGTACAAATGTTCCTAAAATTTCCACTCCTGCCTCTTATGTTGCTTCTGGGAATATCCATCCCTCAACTATTTAACCAGCTAGCATCTCCTCATCACCATTTCAACACTTCTTTTCCCTCTCCCCTACTTTATTTTTCTCCATAGCACACGACAGTTTTTGATATACATAACGTTAACTTATTTGTTAATCTGTCTTCCTGCCAAATAATATATCTTGTAAAGGCAAACATTTTACACATTTTGTTGTTACTATATTTCAACTTTTTAGAAAAGTGTCTGGCCCATAAATATTTTTTGAACAAATGAGTGAGAGTTGTTCTGAATAAGAAATGAGTTGCCACATAGAGCAGTCTTGTCTGTCAAAAACAAAGGCTAGTAGGCTTGTTTATTGCAGTGTTAATGAGATAGATAAGAAATGGAATTAAATGGACTTAAAAAATTTTTTCTGATAGAAATATATAGACTTTTCCTTTTAAACATTCAGAGGAGGGGAACTCATTTCCTCAAGCAAGATGGGTAGACAACTCTATCTGAAGCTTATTGTTACATTAAACCAAATCCTTTCACTTTGAAAAATATATTTAGTGATCCTAATTTTAACATGACTTGATATTCAATATAAATATAGACATAAATTCATTTAGTATCAAAAACTTGCCAAAAATGTAACTTCCACAAGCCACAGTCATAGTGCAAATATAAAAATAATTTACATAATCTAGAACATTCCATCTAAGATTATTCTTGCTGCCATCCTTTCTATAGTGCAAATGTTGAGAACTGCCTCTCTCAATAGACTATCTTCTTATAAGACTGGCTTTCATTGACTCTCATGATACTTCAACAGAACAATTGTTCTCTAGGAATATGATTTTAAATATATGGCATCCTGGCTTGGGAAACATGTTATCAGGAGATGATATACTTAGGAATAAACAGATTGTCTTTCCTGTAAATGCTAATTTCCATAAGTTCAGTCTTTGTTTTCTTCTTTGGGACACATATTTAATCTGCATAATGTAGCCTTATCATATGATTACTGGTTAAAGTGCCGGAATGGGAAGTTTACTCTTGGACAAAAACATGAGTGGTTTCTCAGAAAAGGAAACTGCCTCAATGGCAAGATTAACTTTACCATTCAATTTCTAAATTTTTTGACATCTCACTTCTTCCTAAGGCTTTAATGTCTACTTCCCCTTTTGCTTCCAGAGTTCCTGCTAATATTTTGGTACTATTCTAATAATGATGGTAATGGTAGCTAACATTAGTAAATTAGCTAGGACAGCAGCTAACAAATATTAATGTGCCTAGTACTGTTCTGAATACTTCTCAAGTATGAAGTTACTTAATCTTACCAGCCCTTTGATTTAGATTCTAATATTATTCATACTTTATAGTTAAAGAAACTGAAGCACTGGAGTATTGAGTAAATCCAGACAGTTTGGTTTGAGAGCCTGGGCTCATGGCTACAATGTTATATGAAACTTTTCATTGGTTTCCATGGATTTATGTTGGTAAGTCTTTGTTTAACTATGTATACAAATAGTTTGGAGCAATCATAGGAGTCTACATTAAAAACCTATGCTGAATGAGTAAGACATAACAAATGCAAAAACAAATCATTATTTTGTTGGGAGTCCTGGTAAAGGTATGTAACTAAAGTGATAGAGGTTACTAATATGTATTTACTGTTTTAAGTTTAATTTATAAAAAAATATCTAGGAATTGACTTGTTGGCGTCTTAATGTCTTGGAGCAGCAGTTCTCAAATTTTGTGATCTTCTTTCTGCTATGAAAAATTATTGAGGCCCCCAAAATATTTTGCTTATGTAAGTAATGTCTGTAGGTATTTATTGTATTTGAAGTTAAAACTGAGGATTTATTATTTAGTTTTTAATTCATTTTTAAGTAACAATAATATATCCATTATGTATTAACATAAATACATACATACCTGTACATATACATACATGTACCTGTACACATATACATTTATGTAAATATATAAATACATATTTTTTACAAAAATAACTACATTTACCAAAATAAAGCAGCTTAGTTGCTGAAGGGTCTCAAAATTACACTTTTTAGAACGTTCATCTTAGAATGGCTAGGTAAAAAATGAAATAAACCTTAGAGCATTCTCTTAGATCATTGTCTAAGCCCTATATTCTATTTTCAGCTCTATTTTCCCCCAAAAGACATAACTTACAGTTCTGTTTTCCCCCAAAAGACATAACTTACTATGATGTGTAACATCATAGAAAAGGATTTTGGGAGAATGTGTCTGCTCTAAGTAGTTTTCTGTTCAAAAGATAATAACCTTAACATATTCTCAAACGTGTTTTTTCTTTGAGAGGTATGGTTTTGGCACAAAGCATGAAAATAAATAATGAAAATAGAAAGCATTATTTATAAGTCAATTAAAGCATTTTGAGGTTAGCTGTGGAACATTCATATAATCCTCATATTATTGAATTTGCAACAACAATCAATTTTCACTTGTCTGTCTCAAAAGGGGACCTACAGAAACTCTGGACCCAAGGCCTAAAGCAGTGCTGTTTCAGTTTCCCAGGGACTCCTTGGACCTTTATCCATCCTTCATATCTGCTGGATACCAGGCATTCTTGATACCTGCTGGAGCTAATTCATTCATTTAGGGAGAGAGAAATAAAGTCTTAGCCTTCAGCTGGGAAAGACTGAAAATAAACAAAGATATAATTCTAATGTTAGACAGTAATGAAGCATATAAAAAGGAAAAACAAGCTTTAGGAGTGACAGAAAGGAGGTTTAGGTAAGATACTCAGTGACAACATCACTCAGCAGCTTGCATTTGACCAGAGACCTGAATAAAGTAAAGGAGAGTCTATTATGGGGCAAGATTAGACTGGACAGAGGTCATGGAACATAGTAATTTCCTGAGATCAGAAGAAACTGGACCTATTTGCTTCAGAGGAAATAGTGGGAGCAAGTATGGTTGGTGTCAAATAAATGATAGAGATTTAGAAGTGAAGGAGAGCAGCACAGCTCAGGGGGAGACCATGTAGGGCCTTGAAGACCATGGGAAATCATTACAATTTATTATGAGAGTGTAAAATGCTACTGGCAGAGGATCTAGGAGGGGCGATCACCCATTTCAGATTTTTCTGATATAATCAACTTTCAATAGGGAGTCTTGTTCACTCCTTTATTTACGGCATCAAATTTAACGCCTACTGCATATTTTTGAAGCAGTGAGTGAATCAGTAAATCAATGAATAAGAGTTATCAGATTATTATCTCTGATTTTTGTGTGTGTGGGGGTGGGATCTGGAAAATACAGGGATGATTGTTCTGTGGGTGCATTTTTCCTATAGCAAACATAATACTGTCCACAACAACGTCATGCATTATTTGTCAAGTTTAATGTTTAAAAACATTTAATACTATTTTCTGAAAACAGGAACAGAGAGCCCATTAAGTAATAAATTTCCTGGGCAATGTGATCTTTCTCAGTTTATTTTTAATAGTCTGAACTACCACGGTATCTGAAGAAAACGTTTATCTTTAAAGAGAGAAAGCCTTGCGTTGCAGTCCAGGATTGAGAACTGAAGTGTTGCAGCTCCCTAGTACTAGAGCTTTCTGAACACATGTGAGCAAATCAGTTCAATCCTAGTTCTTCTAGTTATTTGTCTGTAAAATGATCCACCTGCTCCTTCTCCCAGTCCCATCCCTATTTCTTTCCCCTACACTGTCAAAAAGAAAATAATTTATGGTAACTTAAACAATGTCTTAGAAACGAACCTTCAACTTTTCAAGCACCATCCAAATGCCAAAGACTCTTGAGGTTTGTGGAAGGAAGAAAAGCGGTCCATTGGCATAGAAAGTTTTCCTTCCTCTGGCTGAAGATGAACTTATCATGGCATTTTTCTCCACTTTGTACACGTAAGCTGTATGAGTAATCTTCCTTTGACTTGAACTACCGAATTTCAAAAAAAGATGAGTGTGTTTGTGTGAGTTATATGAGTGTTTGTGCCTGTGCGTGGTGTGTATGTGTGTGTGTGCCTGTGTGTAAGGGGGAGGGATTTGACCAACATGGGGAATGAATGCAAAGACATTGATTAATCATGTTTCCAGCCACCCAGAAAATGCTCAATATCTCTTTCTTAGTTAGCATAGCTTCATGTGGCTTACCTTCCAGAATAGTTGTGACGCGGTACCTTTTATTTTTTTTTTTGAGACAGTTTTGCTCTCGTTGCCCAGGCTGGAGTGCAATGGCGAGTTGTCGGCTCACCACAGCCTCTGCCTCCTGGGTTCAAGCAATTCTCCTGCCTCAGCCTCCCGATTAGCTGGGATTACAGGCTTGCATTGCCACACCTGGCTAATTTTGTATTTTTAGTAGAGATGGGGCTTCTCCTTTTTGTTCAGGCTGGTCTCAAACTCCTGACCTGGTTGATCCACCCACCTTGGCCTCTTAAAGTGCTGGGATTACAGCCTTTGACGTGGTGCTTTTTAGGAGCTATTTGACCAGAAGCTCAGGGGATGACCAGATGACCACAATGTATCAAGAACTGGCCAGAAAAAGGTACTGCATAAATACATGTCACTTTTATTATTCTAGTCTGCCTCCTTTGGCTACAGGTTTTGACATCAAACTGTGAAAATCAGTAATACAGTTTCTGGAGAGCTGTTTTATTTCCTTTTTTCTTTTTCCTCCTGTTCTCTATTATCTCTATTTTGTTTTCTAAAAATAATTCAGCTGTGCTTTGTCTGGGGATGATAAAACCCTTTTTCACCCAGTTTTCCTAATCAGTATCTCCACACAAGTTGATACACCCACCCACCCCCACATGCAATCAGACAGGGTCCATTACTATTTTTCTGAAAAATAAAACAGGTTACCTATTTAAGGCAGTTCTACCTGTTGTGGTGAGACAACTGTTATTTGAGCCTTAATCAGCAGAGTATGGGGCTGAACCATGTGACTTTTGTGTCTTGTTTGCAGTTTAAACTCAATATGACCTTTACAGATCTAAAGGTCCTAACAAATTGCAATATGCAATCATTTTTGTATCTACCAACCCAAATATTAAAAAGTAACTATTGAAACCAATAAGAGTCAGCTAGTCAAATGTGCTATCCACTTAAAAGTCTATGATTTTCTTTGGTAAAAAGCTCAGGTAGTTTTTTTCGCTGAGATATTTCATTAAAATATTCTCCAATAAATGGTGTATTTCTCTCTCCCTTCTGAAAAATCAATCTCTGATGAGTTCCAAAATCACTCATAAGTTTTTAAATTAGGCTTTTGTTTTTTGATAGGCTTTCTGAAAGAAAGTTACATCAATTTCCCTGGAAGTTACATTTCATTTCAACCACTTAATTTTAAACTTCAGGAATGTATAAATTTCATCAATTCACACCACTAATTCAGAATGTACAAAGATTTAGATATGTGGCTGTTGTCAAATAAACAAACAATTTTTGACTGAATTTTGGGACCCCTTTTTGGTGAAAATTCAACTTTAAATTAATATCTTTTTCAAACAAATATTCAAAAGCTGTCAAAATTTTTATTGTTTTGTATGTAACTTCAACTTCTGAATTTAAAATTACTGTCATTGTCTAATTATTTTATATTTTAGCATAGTCTCAGTTAATTAATTGTCTACTAGAACTTGAACCCAAATTTGTGATTTGCAATTCTTCTTCTGATTTTGCATTTTTTCAGGTTTAGGCAAAAAATAAATGTTCTTTAAGCTCATAACAATTTATATCTTGGTCATCTGGCTGGATATTCCTTTCTCCTCAAGGTATTCTCATTTGGAGATAATAGTAGTAAGTATATTTTCTATAGATGAGGAAACAAAGAAGCTTCTTATTTTGGTTAGAAAGAGAAAATATTTCTGGAGTACTAAGTAAGCTTTTCATGCTCCTATCTCTTAAAATACTGTTTTATCTCTAATTGGGGAAGGTAAGTACCAAAATATTGACAATGAGTGCTTCCATCTCAGCTTTGGCATCTTAATATTTCTGGATTTGTGGAAAATATTTTAAAAACCATTAATATTGGGAGAAAAATATAAGCCCAACTAGTATCCCCTGCATTGTTTGTCTCTTCATAGTGATCCACTTACTAGCTGTCCAGTTGCTTACTCTCAGCTTCCATTCCACGGGCCAGTAAGTAATGTACCATGGTAATTTCTTCCTGACGCCACAATCTGTTGATATAGCTATGAAAACTAACTGAGGACCTGTGATAAGGTTTCCACAGTGACTTGATTTTATTACAGGATGGGACCGATACAGGACAAGAAAAACTGTAAGATTAAAAATGGCACATGTTTATTATTAATTTTTTCAAATTAGATTCTGATTTTCTCTGGTGCCATGAAAGAGGCCAGAAACATTTAATCTTTAGAACAAAACCCCAAAACCTCATGAAACATTGAAAGAGGAAGCCAAAAGTTGCTCTCTTCCCCAATGTGAACTACTTATTGCATCAAAAATTAAGCTGTTTGCTATGGTCTGAATATTTGTTTCCCTGTAAAATTCATATGTTGAAATCTTAACCCTTATGGTAATGTAATGTATGGGGACTTTGGGAGGTCATGAGGGCTCTATCTTCATTAAAGGGTTAGTGTCCTCATAAAATAGATCCCAGAGGGAGTCTCACCCATTGCATCATGTGTGGAAACAGAAAGAAGGCATCCTCTACAAACCATAGAGCAGGTTTGCACCAGATACAGAGTTTGCTGGCATTTTGATACAGGATTTCCAGCCTTTAGAACTGGGAGAAATAAGTTTTGGTTGTCGATAAGGCAGCCAGTTTACGGTATTTTTGTTATAACATCTTAAATGGACTAAGACACTGCTCTAACATTGCTTAGATTAAGAAAGTTGAGTGTTTCAGTTGAATACTGACCAAAAATTTTAGTTGAAGTGGAAGGGACTCAAGGACATAATTTAACAAGTTATGTTGGGTATGTCAAATGCTGTAGAAAATGTCTCTCCTCTCATCCCACATATTGTCAGGAATGAATGCGCTCACTAGTCTGCTACAAGATGAAGACGATGATGTTCTGCAGACTAACTCTGAGTCCCTGCATTATCTAAGACCAGCAGCCACTGACTTACAAACACAATCCAACTGACTTTTTGAAGAGATTTGCAGTAGCCAAAAATTGTACTGCTGTTTAAACACAAATGCTTAAGAATATAAAAAATCGTAACCACAACCTTTTAATTATAATGATATCCTTCAATGTGGGAGAGGAAGAGAGGAGATATTTGACTTCACAAATAACTGTATGGAAAAACAGGGCATCATTCACAAAGTCATTTTACAAAATGATGCACATTTTCGAATGTGTGTGTGTGTGTGTGTGTATGTGCATATGTGTACACACTTGCTCATACACTCTAGTAATTTATAGAACTTAGGTTACCATAGGGAGGAATGAATATAAAAAGGATGATTAATTAGTTCTGTGGCATATCTTACGACATCTTTCTAAGGTTCATGCTTTGTATATCACCTCACACATAAATTAATGCCACATTTATTTGAAAGCAGCACAGTGTTAGAGAAGACAAAAGAGACATTGAATTCAGCCACACCTGGGTTCAAATACCTGTCACATGTTAGCTGTGTGATTTTATGCAAAATTATTTAGTCTGCTTGATCTTTAGTTTTCTTATTTATAAAGAGTGCCACTTTCCTTATAGAACTATTGTAAGAATGCAACCAGATTTGTATAGCTTCCAGTAGGATATCTGGGAAAGAGTCACTGTCAATAACTACTAGATTCTTCTTCTTTCTCTGGAAGAACCATAGTTTTATCTGGGCGAATACAATATCATACTGAATAGAATTATTATAATCTCCCATTAGGCTTGTGAGTAGGGGGAGAAAATAGAATCATTTGTTTATTCCTGAAAATATACCAATGGAAAACTAAAGGTTTCTAAGTCTTAACCCTTTCAGACAAGTTGTTTTTAAATGCTGAAAAGTGAGATCCCAGTTCTTCATGTCTCCATTCCTTTCTGTCTCTTTAAAAATTCAGAGTATTCCTTTCCCCGAACAAATTCTGCAAAACGGGGTTAGGTTTCTAAGTCTTGCATACCCTTCTAGTTAGTAATTTTTGAATCAGGATTATATAGATCAAAATTTGAATTTCAGAGATGGAAGAGATATTATAGAATAGTTCAAGTTTTAAGGCACATTAGAATCACTTGAGAAGCTTGATAAAAACAAGAGATTTGCAGAACCTGTCCCAAAAGATTCTCTTTCTGAAGTTAAAGGTCCCAAGCTCCTGCACTTTTTTGAAATATATATTTTATTGTGCTAAGAACACTTAACATGAAATCTATCCTCTTAAGAAACTTTTAAGTGTGCAATAAAATATTGTTTCTATAGCTACGTCAAGTTTCTACATTTTTAAAACAAATGTCCCGAGTATCTCTAGTTTAGTTGGGCCGCTCTCTGGAGTGAGCACTACTGCCTTAAAATCTTTCTAATCAACTTTTTACACATTGCAGAGTCATTTGTAGCTTCTGATTCCGTGCAGAACTGCCAGGGGAGGCTTTGGGTTTTGTAAGAGCTGAAGCTTATAGAATATGGGGCCTAATTTAAGAAAACAAATTTAAAAACGTCTTGCATTTGTAAATTTTGCCAGATATATAGCCATGTGAACATATTGCTAGGGCTTCTCTGAGGGCTTGAGAAGGAACTCGTGTCCTTAGGGGCCCTGAAACAAAAGCTTCATATTATATACGCTTTTGAGTAACACCCATGACAATTCATCCTTGTTATTATTTCTATTTTATGGGATGAAGAAATGAAAGAATGGAGACTTTAAGCAACTTGCCTGTGGTCACACAGCTCATAAGTGGCAGAGTGGGAATTTGAATCCAGGCAGCCTGTCTCCAGAGCCTTTGTTCCTTTT